TATATATATACTCAGTACAGCAACTGAAGCTATGATTCAAGAATGAAAATTTTTGGTATTTTATTTGTAAATTTTTATTTTCAAAAATGAAATGAAAATGCTTGTTATGTTAGCAACTGATATATCCTTGTAAAGCAGCAATTTAACGTTTGCTTAGAAATATATTTGAACGTACAAAAAAATAATGGAATAATATGTGTTGTTCTCATATATCAAATTTCTCCTTAATTTATGCAGTAGTTTTAGTACTACACTTGTTTTATTATCATATTTTTATATCCTTTTCTTTTTTTTTTACAAAAATTAAAGCTTTAATAATAATTCTGTTACAGTAGTTGGGATATAAATATTTATTACCTGTAAAAAGCTAATGAATATTTTTTTCACAAAAACTGCAAGAAAAAATAAATCTTCGTCATTTGTATATTTATATATAAATATTTGTAAATGTAAATATGTATAATATGCAATTTTCACTCATATTTCAAATATGCGATTTAAAATTGTTGATTAAATCTTTAAGTATGTATTTAAATAACTTTAGGAGCTAAATGACTAAACAATTTTCATTTAAACTTAAAGATTTTGGTAGTTCTTCGAAAGAAGCGACAAATTTCTCCGAAAACAAGAAACAAACTTTAAAAAGTCTTAATATGTAGGAAAGAAAATAGAAAAGTTTTGTTATTACTGAACCTGAATAGTATGAAAAATTGACATTTCAAAAGATTTGTGTTGAAAGCTAATTCAGTGATTTCTTTTGATATTCGTGATTATTTGTGCATGAAAAATAATGTATAACTTTGAAAAGTGTTCATTCAATCAATGATAAGTAAATTCAAGTGAAACATGAAATTACTGGAAATGATTCAGCTTATTTAATAAGCACGCTAATTAATCTTAGGTGACCGTAATAATTTCCGGCTAGATCGTTTGCTCAAAACAATTATCTATAGGTTCATTATTAACACTTTTTAATGCTAAATAATTTGTAATTTTCAATTTAAATATTGCTTTTAAATTTCTTATTGACAATGACATGATATTTTTCCTTAATTTAATTTTTTCGTTTTGAAATTGATAAAACTACAAAATGTTTAATAAAAAAATAATGCAATAATTAAACTTGATTTAATTCTTAGTACTTACTTGTAACTGATTAATCAACCACCATATTCATAAAGCAAAAAAAAAATTGCTTTGTTTTATAAACGAGCAAGAGTTTAAATTACAGTTAAAATAAAAATCCCAACAATAAATTGTTGTATAACATATATTTAATCTTTGATATTCCTTTAATTTGCTATCAGAATGAATGGTTAATTCTAGCGATCCAAATATCATTTAAGTTTTAGTATCAATCTTTTTCATTCAATACTTATTGTATTTACAACTTTAATTTCATTTTCAAGCGATATATTCGGACATTTATTTAATACAAACTTAAAATATATATTTATTCTGATAACTCCTACTATTTGGACACAACTCATTGCATAGCCAATTAAATAAGCATGCAGTATTTTAAGAAATAGGAAGTTCAGAAGCAGATATGACCAGCATTTGAGAGAACTAATTTAAATATTAGTATAACTAGAACTCTTTTACATAATCATTAAGTTCTACCTTTTTAATTACACCTTCATTATCTGCAAAATAAAGTTTTGACATCGTTTTCACTATTCTTGCTAATTACAATTATTCATTTACTTCAATTCTTTAATTCAAGCTGAACATATATATATAATAAATACTCTCACTATTCTTTTTCAATAATTTTTTACAAAATTATTAAAACGATAAATCGTCATATCCTATTCTTCCATACGCAGCAATAAATCCTGAAATATTAGTGAGCTTCTTTATTTATCCATTCATATTATTATTAAATATTCTACTGATAGTTTTTATCAGCTTTTATCAATGCTGTTAAAAATTTCATTCCTTTAGGCAGCAGTTTAGAATTATCTTCATCAAATTTGTGCTTACTTTCACGAGTTTTACTGCATTCGTATTAATAAATCATCTCAAGTAAAATAATTTAATTCTTTTCGTGTTTGCTTGACTGTTCAAACTCTTTTATTGTTGGTGCAGCTATATTGAATTTATTTTTTGAAAACCATACAATTACTATAAGTTCTGCATTCACTTTTTTGAAATTAGATTTTTTGATACATGATATGATAGAGAGGTAATTCTGAGAAATATATTTTAAGCAACGTTTCACTACAACCAAACAAAGTACAAATCTTTGTAAATTACTGTTTCAAAGTTATACAATGTGAAACTTTATATTTTCACAATTTTTGAAAGAAATCTTTTTTCTATTTTATTTTCAATTCAATTTAAATTTATAGAAAAAATGCATTTAAACAAACATTCAAAAAACTTCACTTTTTCAAAAGAAATGCAACGGAAAAAGACAATTCATTTTAAATATGATTTCAGTGCCAATTTGCTAATTTGAATTGTTTTTAGATTTTCGCAACCAGCAGAGACTCATAAAAATGTTT